CCCTTGATAATTTATAAATTATTATTTTGTCATATCTTGCCCTGTCTGATGTCTCTCTTCACCCACTTTTTTGTTGTCCATCCCCCAGGGAGGTGGTCACATGTAGATCCTTGTAATCAGTTCCCCCTTTCCAACCCACTCTCCCTTTACCCTCCCAGTATTGCCATTCACACCACCGGTCGTGAAGGGATCATCTGCCCTGGATTCCCTGCGTTTCCGGTTCCTATCTGTACTAGTGTACATCCTCTGGCCTACCAGACTTGCACGGTAGAATTTGGATCATGATAGTGGGGTGGGGGGTTCTAGAAGTCATAGCATTTCTTATAAGGAGCCAGATTTGGTAGGGCTTTGCATTGCTATGAATTACTTATTACTGCTCTTCCAGCCATGCTCGTTGTAACTCGCACTGAATGACCAGGTACAACTATGCAAATTCGAGGTGCTTGTGGCCCACCAAGGGGATTGGACAATTTGCTAATGATGTAACTAAGGTGTACAACACCCTTATGGGGTGGGGCCAGGCAAATAAGATGTATGGGAACCTTAAGGTGATCCGTTTAGTCATCCAGCTAGGTTTAAAATGAGCCATGGGGATCTCAGGACCCTTAAGAAGCTGAGCCAGGAGTGTGTCCAATGGACCTTAAGATGCCTCCGCCAAACCTCCCACACTGTTTGGAAGTTGAAATGATTTTTTTTTTAAATGGAATTTTTCTGTGAACTTTTTGAAACCCCTACTTACTGTGATCTGGATTGGCGAGAAGTAGGAAGATAAAGAGGCTAAGTTATGAAAGACTACCCAGCAGACATATTTAGAATTTCTCTTGTTACTCCAGAGGTTTTTGTATAGGTGACTAACAAAGTGCCATTGCTGGAAGAAGGCATTCCCTTAAGACCCAGAGGAATTTTGTTGCAGTAGTTAGAAGGAGCTTTCTAGCAAGGAAGAAGGAAGTGTATTTGAGAATGAATGCGAGAGACTATTGAAGGAAAAATTCAAAATCATGTGCTTAGTGTTACATGTTAAAGAATGGAGATGAGGAACTACTGTGCTCAGAATTCTGTTTTTTATTTCTCTTTGTGTAGACCATGGATTCATATGATTCATCAGCAATGACTCCTAGTGAAAGAGCATCCTCAAGGCCTAAAGATTATGCTATAGGTGCCACCCCTCTGGAGAAACGATTAGAATCAGTAAGGAAGCAGACTACATTTGTCTGTACTTCACATCGAAAGAAAATTCCCGAGTGTTCACAATTAGAGGTATGTTTGCTGAGCCCATTCGCATTACGCAACAATTGGGAGTATCATGTACAGAATTCCAATTCTTGTTTATTTGTAGTAGTCCTTGATCTTTTTGACTTAAAAAAAAAATTATTTTATTGGGGGCTCGTACAATTCTTATCACAATCCATACATCCATCCATTGTGTCAAGCACATAAGCACATTTGTTGCCCTCATCATTCTCAAAACATTTGCCTCCCACTCTAGCCCCAATATCAGTTACTCATTTTCCCCCTCCCTCATAGTTCATAAATTATTATAGTTTTGTCATAAGTTACCCTGTCCAATGTTTCCCTACGCCCTCTGTCCATCTTCCAGGGAGGAGGCAATACTTAGATTCTTGTAACTGGCTCCCCTTTTCTACCCCACATTCTCTTCACCCTCCAGGCATTGCCTCTCTCACCACTGGTCCTGAAGGAGTCATCTATACTGGATTCCCTGTGTTTCCAGTTGCTATCTGTACCAATGTCCATCCTCCAGTCCAGCCAGATTTGTAAGGTAGAATTGGGATCATGATAGTGGGGGGGAGGAAGCATTAAAGAACTAGAGGAAAGTTATATGTTTCATCGTTGCTACCCTGTACCCTGACTGGCTCTTCTCCTCCCCACAATCCCTCAGTAAGGGAGTGTTCAGTTGCCCACTGATGGGCTTTGAGTCTCCACTCTGCACTCACCCACCTTTACAATGATATGACTTTTTGTTCTTTGATGCTTGATACCTGATCCCTTCGACAGCTCGGGGTCACACATGCTGTTGTGCTTCTTCCATGTGGGCTTGGTGTTTCTCAGCTAGATGACCACTTGTTTGCCTTTAAGCCTTTAAGACCCCAGACGCTATATCTTTTGATAGCCAGGCACCATCAGCTTTCTTCACCGCCTTTGCTTATGTTCACATTTTTCTTCAGCAATTGTGTCAGGAAGGTGTGCATTGTGGAATGCCAATTTAAAAGAACAATGTGTTCTTGCAACGAGTAGGCTTGAGTGGTGGTCCAATGTCCATCTGCTGCCTTAATACTAAACCTGTAAATATATGCACGTAGATTGGTTTCCCCACACTCTTATGTAAATATATTTACATATGAACATTCCAGTCTTAAAACCTCTATACTGTACATACCCTTTGCACCCTAGTTCTTTCCTCTGTTTCCCTTTACTTTCGTCTTGTCCCACTATCATGCTCAGCCTTCATTTGGGTTTCAGTGATTTCTCGGTTACATTGCTTAATTTCTACCAGGTCTCTCACACCCTCCTTGCCACTGTTTTTGGATCACTTGTTGCCCCCGTGTCCCTGGGTTGGTCAGCACCACCTTCTTACCCCTGCCTCCCTCTCTCCCGTGTCCCCCCGGAACCTTGGTCCCATTATTTTCTCCTCCAGACTATTCATCCAGTCTATCTTATCTAGATAGATCTGTAGAGATAATAATATGCATCTAAAACCAAGCTATAACAAGATAGGTGATCAGTGAGAACACATCGATGGTAACAAAAGAAACCAATTACCCATAGAAGAATAAATTAATTAAAAGAAAAAAATTTTTAAGCAGAAAGAAAAACCTGTAAATAGTTCAAGGTCTGATTTTTGATCTCTCGGCGTGTCCTGCAGTCAGGACCGATGGGGTACCATACTCTGGCCCCCAAGTCTGTCCTTTGTACTCCCTTGGGGGCTCTCTGCTCTGCTCCCACAGTTGTTCTGCCGCACGCTTTCTGTGGTTTGCCTTGGTGTCTCAGGGTCAATCTGGGGCAGTCCCAACACTGAGTCTCGAGTGTTGTCCCCCTTAGAGCCTGGGGCCGTCAAGGGACGGCATGTCTCGTGGTGGGATCAGCCATATTGTCCACTCTGTCCATTGGCTGTTCAGAGCAGGGATGTCCTCCAGGCCTGGTACGTCAGGATTTGCTCCACTCTCTCTTCCTCTCCCTAAGTGCTCCCATTTGCTCTGGTCAGACATGCCCCTCTGCCCTAGCTGTAGCTTCATTGCCATCCCCTCAAGTAAATTCTTCTGGCAGGAGGGGCAGTTGTCCACGTAGCTGGCATGGGGGCCGAGCCCTCAGGCCCCTCCGCTGTCTCCCCACTCCTTGCCAACTAGCTGCATTAGTCTGGCACTGGCTTTAAATCTGGTCCCTCTTTCCCTGTGGAGACACAAACAATACCCTTCCCTTGGGTGGTCAGTGCCCTATTCCCCCGTCACATATCCATTTTTTTCCCCCTTTCCCCGTCCCCCCCTCCCCACCTTCCTTTGTGGCTGGCAACCCTATAACCCTATCTACCCCTGGATTTAGTCTGGCACCTGCCATACTACCTGACCCTTACTCCTAGAACATTTGATGCTACCATAGCTTTTTCCCTGTGGCCCTTTTGCATTTACCTTTCTGTACTTTCTTATATATATATATATATATATATATATGGAACTTACCTCAGCGGACTCATGTTATACTTGCCCTTTTGTGCTTGGCTTACTTTGCTTACCATTATTTCCTCCAGTTCTTCCCATGCGGTGATATGCTTCATGCGTTCATCGCTGCTTTTTAGTGATGCATAGTACTCCATTGTATGTATGTACCACAGTTTTTTAATCCTTTCCTCTGTTGATGGAAATTTGGGTTGCTTCCAACTCCTTGCGATTGTGAACTGTGCCGCAATGAACATTGGAGCACAGATGTCTGGCCGTGGTTTGTTTCTTGCCTCTTCTGGGTATATGCCCAGCAGGGGGATTGCTGGGTCGTATGTTAACTCAATTTCCATCTGTTTGAGAAATCGCCAAATCGATTTCCATAGAGGCTGTACATATTTATAGGTCCACCAGCTGTGGATGAGAGTTGATGTCTCACCACAGCCCCTCCAACACTTGTTGCTTTCTGATTTTTTGAATTTGGCTATCTTCGAGGGTGTTAGGTAGTATCTTATAGTTGTTTTGACTTGCATTTCTCTTATGGCTAATGATTGGGAACATTTTCTCATATGTTTATTGGCCATTTGGATTTCAGACTTTAAAAATTCTGTTCAGGTCCTTTTCGCACCTCCTCAGTGGGCAGTTTTTCTCTTATTGTGACCTTGCAAGGTATTGTAGATTTTAGTAATAAAGGCCTTTGTCTGATGTGTCGTTGCTAAAGATGTTTTCCCAGTCGGAGGACTCTCCTATTACTCTCTTGGTGAATTCTTTCTATGTACTCAGGTGTATTATCTTCAGTATATCCCACTTGTCTATTTGTGACTCCTCTATGTTTGTATCCTTTCCTATTTCTGATAGCCTATGTATTCCCTGTGCCAAGGTTTTCAGGTTTGTCCCAATTCCCTTATTAATGGCCCTAATTGTTTGGGGTTTTATCTCAAGGTCTGTGGTCCACCTTGAATTTATTCTTGTGCATGGAGTGAGGTAAGGGTCTTGCTTCATTTTTCTGCAGGTAGATATCCATTTTTTCCCAGCACCATTTATTGAAGATGGCATCTGCTTCCCATTTAATATTTTTTGGGCCCTTATCAAAGATCAGTTTCCTGTATGCTGATGTTTTTATTTCTGGGTCTTCAGCTCTTTTCCACTGGTCTGAGTATCTCTCATTATGCCAATACCACACTGTTTTGACTACTGTGGCCGAATAGTACATGCTAAAGTCAGGTAGAGCAAGCCTTCCCACTTTGTCCTTCTTCTTGAGGAGTTCTCTGCTAGTTCTGGACTTCTTCTGCCTCCATATGAAGTTGGTTATCTGTTTTTCCAATTCTTTGAAGAAGAGTGATGGTATTTGTATTCGGCAGAACTGACATCTTTATTGAGCCTGCCAATCCACTAGCTTGGGATATTCTTCCATTTGTTGAGGTCACTCTTGATTTCTTGAAGTAGTGTTTTATTGTGTCCCTCATACAGATCTTTCATTTTTTTAGTCAAGTATATCCCTAGGTATTTCAATTTGTGCTTGGCTATTGTAAAGGGTACTACCTTTTTAATCACCTCTTCTGTGACCTTGTCTGATGTGTAGAGCAGTCCAATAGACTTCTGTTTGTTGATTTTGTACCCTGCCACTCTGCCATATTCCTCTATTGCTTCCAACAGTCCGCTTGTAGAGTTTAAGGGGTCTTCGATATATAGGATCAAATCATCTGCGAATAATGATAATTTCGCCTCTTCCTTCCCCATCTGAATACCTTTAATAGCTTTCCTTTGTCTTATGTTGTTAGCTAGGACCTCCAGTACGATGTTAAATAGGAGTGGGGACAAGGGGCATCCTTGTCTGGTCCCCTTTTTCAGTGCAATTGTTTTCGTCTTTTCTCCATTAACTACCATGTTAGCTATTGGTTTTTCATATGTGGCTTGTATAATATTGAGGAATTTTCCTTCTATTCCTATCTTCTTGAATGTCTTAAACAGGAATGTGTGTTGGATATTGTTGAATGCTTTTTCTGCATCTATCGATATTATCATGTGATTCTTATCATTTTTCTGCCAATGTGGCGAATAGTGCTGATGGTCTTTTGTATGTTAAACCATCCCTGCATCCTTGGTATGAATCCCACTTGGTCATGGTCAATAAATTTTTCATATGCTTTTGTATTCTATTGGCCAGTATTTTGTTAAGGATTTTTGCATCAATGTTTATTAGGGATATTGGTCTGTAGTTCTCGATTCTTGTGATATCTTTGCCAGCTTTAGGTATCAGAGTTATACTAGCTTGATAGAAAGAGTTTGAGAGTTTTATGTCTTTTTCTATGTTTTGGAAGAGTTTGTATAGGATTGGTGTCAGTTTTTCCTTGAATGCTTGGCAGAATTCTCCTATGAAGCCATCTGGCCTAGGGGATTTTTTTTGTTGATTATCTTGTCTATTTCTTCCATTGCAGTGGGCCTGTTGAGGGTCTTGACATCCAACTGGGATAGTCTAGGGAGGATTGTGTTTCCAAATATTTGTCCATGTCTTTCAAATTGTTGAATTTGTTAAAGACCTTCATAGTACTGTGTAATTATCCTTTTGATTTCATTAGGGTCCGTTGT